CAGCAGGCTCCTGCGTCGCCGGGACAGCCTCAGCAGCAAGAGCAGCAGCAGCAGCAGCGGCAGGCGTTGCTGCCACCAGGTCCTAGATCTCCGCACTTAATGGAGAACGAGCAACAGCAGCAGCAGCAGCAACAGATGCAGTTGCAGCAGCAGAGGCAGTCCATGGAACTGCAGCACGCGCCTCTTCCTGCCCATTCATTGCTGCAGCTGCAGGGGCAGCAGCAGCAGGAGCAGCAGCAGCAGGAGCAGCAGCTGCAGCAGGAGCAGGAACTGCAGAAGCAGCAGCAGCAGGAGCAGCAGCTGCAGCAGGAGCAGCAGCTGCAGCAGGAGGAGGAACTGCAGAAGCAGCAGCAGCAGGAGCAGCAGCTGCAGCAGGAGCAGGAACTGCAGAAGCAGCAGCAGCAGGAGCAGCAGCTGAAGCAGGAGCAGGAACTGCAGGAGCAGCAGCAGCAGGAGCAGCAGCTGCAGCAGGAGCAGGAACTGCAGAAGCAGCAGCAGCAGGAGCAGGAACTGCAGAAGCAGGAGCAGCAGCAGCAGCTGCTGCTGCAGCAGCAGAAGCAGCAGGAGGAGGAGCAGGAGCAGCGGCAGAAGCAGAAGCAGAAGCAGGAGCAGCAGGAGCAGCAGGAGCAGCAGGAGCAGCAGCAGGAGCAAGGGGAGCAGCAAGAGCAGCAATTTGCAATGCAGCCGTTTAGTGCTCAAACGGTCTCGCTGTCCGTGCAGCAGCAGCGACAGGAGCAGCAGCTGCAACAAGAGGAGCAGCAGCAGCAACAGCAAAAGGAACTGCAGCAGGAGGCGCCTGAACCTCAAGAGCCCCAGCAGCAGGAAAAACAGCAGCTGCAGCAGCAGCAGAATGAGCAAGTGCAGCTGCTCGAGCCGCCGCCGCAGCAGCAGCAGCAGCACGAGGAAATGCAGCTACCAGAGCCGCAGCAGCAACAGCAGGAGCACGAGGAATCGCGGCGGCCTGAGCTACAGCAGCAGCAGCAGCAGCAGCACGAGGAAATGCGGCAGCCAGAGCTGCAGCAGCAGCAAGAGCAGGCCGTGCGCGGTGAGCCGCAGAACAAGCCGGAAGTGCAGCAGAATTACGAGCAGCAACAACAGCAGCAGCAGCAGACACTTCAGGAACAGCAAGGGCAACAGCAGCAGCAGCAGCAGCAGCTACAACAGCAGCAGCAGCAGCAGCATCCTGCGGCCGTTTTAGAGCCTTCAGTTGCTATTGTCGCCCATGTGGGTGCCCAAGAAGCCGGAGCTGCTACAGCAGCAGCAGCAGCAGCAGCAGCAGCAGCAGCAGCAGCAGCAGCAGCAGCAGGTCCCTACCGCTCCAGAGCATGGTCGCTGCCCGCCATGTGTTCTTCTCCTCCTCTGGGCCCCCTCGTGCTTCCCCCGACGCTGCAGCAGCAGCAGCAGCGACAGCAGCAGCAGCTGCAGCTCCTGAGGCTTTTGCCGCTTAAGACTCTCCGAAAGCAGAACGGAGAGCAGCTGCAGCAGCAGCCGCAAGAGCAGCACGAGCTGCAGCAGGAGCAGCAGACTAAAGAACTCCAAGTGCGAAAGCAGAACGGAGAGCAGCAGCAGCAGCAGCAGCAGCAGCAAGAGCAGCACCAGCTGCAGCAGGAGCAGCAGAGTAAAGAACTCCAAGCGGCAGCTGCAGCAGCAGAGGCCCCGGGAAGCGCACAGCAGCAGCAAGTGGCTAACGAGGTTCCTGTATCTCCATCGGCAGGGCAGCAAAGCAGCAGCACCAGCAGCAGCGGCAGCAGCAGCAGCAGCAGGACCAGCAGCAGCAATGACGCTAGCAGCCGCAGCAGCAGCCCTGCGAAGGAAGGCTCCAGTGCAGATGCGGCGCCCTCCCCTGCGGGCTTCCGGCAGGCAGCAGCAGCAGCAGCAGAGCCGGCACCAGCAGCAGCAGCAGCAGCAGCAGCAGCAGCAGCAGGAATGTGCCCTGCCTGCAGCAGCACGGCCTTATCTCCAGCACAGAAGAAAGACACTGCCACGCAGACGGAGCCAGATATATGTGGGCCCCATGGGGGGCCCCCCGGGGGGCCCCTTGGGGGGCCCCTGGGGCCCCCCGAGGGCACTCAAGTTTGCGCAGATGCAGCTCCGGGGGCCCCCAAAGGGGTACAGCCAGGGGAGGCCCCCACAGGGGCCCCTAAGAGGGCCCCCTCAGTGCTCAAGGCGAAGCCCCCGGGGCCCCCGCCAGGCACAGCAGCAGCAGCAGCAGCAGCAGCAGCAGCGGGGGCCCCAGGGGCTGCAGCGCGGCTGAAGGCCAAGCCGCCGGGCCCTCCCCCTGGAGCAGCAGCAGCAGCAGCAGGAGCATCAGCAGGGGCGGGGGCCCCCAAAGCCACCCCTCCAGGGCCCCCCCCGGGGGCCCCCTCGGGGGCCCCCAAAGCGCGGCCTCCGGGGCCCCCTCCGGGGGCCCCCCCAGGGGCCCCCACAGCAGCAGCAGTACCCAAAGGCAAAGCGCCGGGGCTGCCGCCTGGCTTTAAGGCTGGGGGCCCCCCTGCTGCTGCTGCTCCTAAAGGCAAGCCGCCGGGGCCCCCGCCGGGGGCCCGGGGGGCCCCCCCGGGGCCCCCCCCTGGGGCTGCGAGGCCCCCGGGGCCCCCGCCAGGAGCCAAGGGGGCCCCCCCGGGGAAGGCCCCGCCTCCCCCAGGGGGCAAGGGGCCCCCCGGGAGGGGCCCCCCGCCTCCAGGTGGAAAGAAGGGAGGTGAGATCTGTTGCAGCTAGCTAGCCAGCTAGCTAGCTAGCTAGCTAGCTAGCTAACTCTTTAAATAACTGAGTAGCGGGAGTTGTGGGATTTGTTTTACTTGTGTTGGCGCGGGACTTCGCTGTGTTTGCCGTGCTTTTGCTGCTGGCGTGCTGCTGCTGCTGTGCGTGCTGCTGCTGCTGCTGTGCGTGGCGCTGCTGCTGCTGCGCTTCCTGCTGCAGCAGCAGTGTTTGCTGGGGTCATCTGAACCACCTGGTGGAACCCTTGCTTCCCTTGCCTTTGCTGCTGCTGCTGCTGCTGCTGCTGCTGCTCCCAGGGCCCCCCAAGAAGCAAGCAGGAGGTGGACCAGGGAGGACCAATGGTCCAGTCTATGTGCTGCCGGAGGAGCAGCTGCCGCTGCCGCCCCAGGGCCTCACTGCTGTCACGCGGCTGCAGTGGGCCCTCATCAGGGCGGAACAGGTGCGCCCCACGCTGCTGCAGCAGCAGCAGCAGCAACAGCAGCAGCAGCAACAGCAGCAGCAGCAACAGCAGCAGCAGCAGCAGCACGGGCTTTCGCCGTGCTTGGGGGGATGGATTTGCTGCGTTAGGGCTGCAGCAAGTGCCGCTGTAGCAGCAGCTGCACGAGAGCACTGCTGTGTCTGCACTGCCGCACATTGATGATACTTTTTGATTGTTTTTGAATAAAAAATTAAAAATAATAAATAATAAATAATAAATAATAAATAATAATAAATAAATAGCAAATAAATTGTTCTTTACTTGTGCTTTGTGCAGCTAACTGGCACCCTTTTCGACGGGCTGCTGGACCGCAGCAACAGCAGCAAACCCCTGGGGGCCCCCCCAGCAGGGGAGGGGCCCCTCTTGTCTCGCTCTCTTAGTTTTGATTTGCCTTTGATAAGATCTCGCAGTTTGGGGCCCCCCAGCTCGGGGGGCCCCCTAGGCAGCAGCGGGGGGGCCCCCCTTCCGGAGGCGCAGCAGCTCGAGCGCCGCCTTTCCCCCTTGGGGGCCCTCAGCAGCAGCAGCAGCAGCAGCAGCAGCGGCGTGAAGCTCACCGAGCAGCTGTCAGCCCCTGCAGCAACAGCAGCAGCAGCAGCAGCAGCAGCGGGCTCCGAGTGCTTTTCCCCCCCTCCGTCTTCACCAGCTTCGGCTCCAGCGGCGATCCCTTCAACAGCAGCAGCAGCAGCAGCAGCAGCAGCAGCAGCAGAGCCGCCCGGTTTTGGCGCCTCCTCCTCCTGCTTGTCCGCGTCCTCAGCAGCAGCAGCAGCAGCAGCAGGCGCTGCTGCTGGGGCCCCGCAGCAGCAAACAACATTTGAGTACAGCGTGGACTACAGCCGAGTGTTTTCTTTGTTTTACAAAGAAGTGGAAAACAACGAAAAAGGGGGAGAGGGTGGGGGCCCCCCCGGGGCTTGGGGGGCCCCCGGGGCCGCGAAGGGGGGCCCCCCGGGCGCGGGAAACGCAAAGGGGTACTGGACCCGAAGTCCAGCCAAAATGTGGAAATCTGCCTCAAGAGATATAAGCTAGCTAGCCAAGAAGACTTCGAACAGCTAGCTGAGCAGCTGCTGCAGGGGGGGCAGCTAGCCATTGAAGGGCCGCTAGCTGAAAGCCTGGTGCTGTACTGGCCCGAAGCAGACGCAGCAGCAGCTTTCAGCAGCAAAACTGCAGCAGAAGCAGCAGCAATGCCAGCAGCAGACCAGCTCTACTTTTGGCTCCTCAAAAAGGTTCCTCTTTGCTGCGACAGACTCAAATTCCACATCGAGTCCGTCACAAACTTTTCTTTTTCTTTTTTCTTTTTCTTTTTCCTCTTTGTTTTCTTTTTTATCTTCCAGTTTTCTCATTTTCTGCTTCAATTAGCTCTTCTTGGCTCTTTTAATCTGCTGTTTTATTTTCTATTATCTGCTCCCTTGTTTCCTTTTGTCTTTTCTTCTTGGCTTCTGCAGCAGCAGCCTGCTGCTGCCTTTGCTGCTGCTGTTGCCTTTGCTGCTGCTGCTGCCTTCGCTGCTGCTGCTTCCTTTCCTGCCATTGCTGCTGCTGCGTTGCTGCTGCTGCTGCGTTTGCTGCTGCTGCTGCGTTTGCTGCTGCTGCGTTTGCTGCGTCAGCTGCTGCTGCTGCTGCTGCTGCTGTGTGCGCAGCCGTTTGTGCGTGGAGGAGGAGCTGGCGGCGAAGGCTGCTGCGCTGGGCGTGTACTTCGGGGCTGTTGCTGCTCTTGCTGCAGTGGTGGTGAGCAGCAGCTTCCGGGCTTTGCTGCAGGCTGTGCTGCGGCTCGGAAATGCTGTTAATCGGGGAAAGAAAGAAGCTTTGGGTTTCAAGTTCAAGGACTTTGCGGATCAGCTTGCTGCCTGCACCAGCCGCGACCGCTCCACCAACCTCTTCAGGCAAATCTGCACTTTTTTTTCCCCTTTTTTCGAACTTTTGCACTTCTGCTGACCCACACTTCTGCAGTTCTTCTTTTTTGATCTTTTTCTCAAAAAAAATCCACTTTTTCCGAAGTTTTTTCCCGAAATGCGAACTTTTTTCCACTTTTTCGCGCCCCGCGCTCGCTGCCGCGGGAGCCGAAACGGCAGCAGCTTCTCCATTCCTTTTCCGTTTTTTCTCTTTTTTTGTTCTTTTTTGTTCTATTTTGTTCATTTTTCGTTTATTTATTGTTCATTTTCGCATATTTGTTGTTTATTTTCGTTTATTTTGGTTTATTTGGTGTTTATTTGCGGTTTATTTCGCGTTTGGAGCTGCTTGTTTGGGCTGCTGCTGCCTTCGCTGCTCGCAGACTTCTCGTTGAAACTGTTTGCGAACAAAACGAATTCGCCATCGAAGAACTTCGAGGGCTTCAACTTGTAGACGCAGCCAAAGGGGTCAGTTTTGTTTTTGTTTTTTGAACTTTTTCCGCTTTTTTTGATTCATTTTCCGCTTTTTTTGGTTCGTTTTTGGCTTCTTTTCACTTGTTTGGCCTCCTATAGTTAATTCTAATATTTTTGAATATTTTCAACTCTTTTTCGGCCTTTTTGGGATTCATTTTTGTGCCTTTTTGGTTCTTCCCCGGCTTCTTTTTGCTCCCTTTTCGTTTTCTTTTCGCCCCTTTTGTGTCCCTTTTTTGCTTCTTTTCTGTGTTTTCTTGTTTCCTTTTTTCTCTTTTTTGACTCATTTTTGCCACTTTTTTGTCCTTCTCTCGTCTCTTTTTTGTCTCCTTTTTATTTCTTTTTTCCGCCCTTTCTCTCACTCTTTTCTGTCATTTTTAGTTCCTTTTAATGTCCTCTTTGTCTGCGTTTCCTTTTTATTTTATCTTCTTTTTGTTTCCTCTTCCGTTTCCTTTGCCTCTTTTCCCTCTTTCTTTATCCTTCCTATATCTCTCATTTGTCTCCTTTTTGTCTTTTTTCTTTTTCATCTTTTTTTATTTCTTTTTTATATCTTTTATCTTTTTAAGGTTTCTTCTTAATTTCTTTTTAATTCCTTTTTTTGCATTTTTCTTTTTTTCTTTTTCTCTTTTTTCATCCTCCTCAATCCAGCCTCTTATTTAATCTTGTACTTCTTCATTATCTACTTATTATTTATTTATTTGCTAATTAATTAATTAAATTAATTTATTTATTTATTATTCACAGATGGAGGTGGCGGAACTGGCGAATTTGTCTTCAATCGAATCTCGTCTTGCTTTTTGGAAGAAAAACATAAATGCAAAAAAGGACCTTTTGGGAGCTGCTGCAGAAGCCATGCTCAAATGGGTCGAGGTCTGCTGCTGCTGCTGCTGCTGCTGCTGCTGGTACTACTGGGAATTTCGCTGCTGAGGGTGCTTTTGCAGCTGCTGTTGCTGCTACTTCTGCTGCTGCTGCTGGGTCTCTTGTTGCTGCTGCGCTTGCTGCGCTTGTATATTTTTTTAGCTGCTGCAGTTCTCGCTTTCACTGCTGCTGCTGCTGCTGCTGCTGCTGCTGCAGGACACGGAGGGCGTGGTGGCTGGGCTGCGGGACGAAATAGCAGCAAATGAGCAGCAGCAGGAGCAGCTGCGGCTGCTGCTGGGCCTCAGCAAAACTGACTGCGTGTGGCCGCAGCCTTTGAAGTGGTTTGGCAAATTCTACACTCTTTTCGAGCAGACTGCCAAGGAACTCAAGGAAGCCAAGGTGCGCAGCAGCAGCAGCAGCAGCAGCAGCAGCAGCAGCACTAGTAGTAGTAGTAGCAGTAGCAGGGGGAGTGGCTGCTGCAGCGGGAGTGGCAGCAGCAGCGGGATAAAAGCAGCAGCGGGAGGAGCAGCTGCAGCGGGAGGAGCAGCAGCGGTAGCAGCAGCAGGAGTGGCAGCACGAGTAGCAGCAGGAGCAGCAGCAGGTGTAGCAGCGGGAATAGCAGCAGCAGTGGGGATAGCAGCAGCAGCAGCTGCTGCTACTGCCGGGGCGCTTGGCGCCTGGGAGAGGGAGTACAGGGAAAGCCGCTTGAGGCTAAGGGTCTGTGATTTAGGGTTTAGGGTTTAGGGTTTAGGGTTTAGGGTTTAGGGTCTATGGTTTGCGCTCAGGAAAAAGAGGCTGCAAAGCGAGAGAGAGAGCTGAAGAAGCAGCAGCAAGCAGCAACTTCACCTGCTACTGCTGCTGCTGCTGCTCGCAGGACAGGGACCCTCAAGACGCTTCCCACAAGAGCAGCAGCAGATGCTCTTGCTATTCCTGGGGGCCCCACACAGCCTGCTGCTGCTGCTAGTCCTGCTGCTGCTGCTGCTGCTGCTGCTGGGGGCTCCAAGGTGCCTCCCGTGGTGTCTAGGGGCAGCTCTGCCGCACTCTCCCCTGCACCAGCAGCAGCAGCAGGAGATGCAGCAGCAGCAGCAGCAGCAGCAG